CTGATGGAGATGTTAAATAGGAACAGGGAATGAACAAGGCCCCAAGGAACCTTGCGAAGCAAGATATTCAGCCATGGAAATTTTCCCACCTACCAGAGTGATAGGAATCAGTTCTGAAGGAAGGAGAACTAGTGCAAGAGCATATTTCGAATCTTCTGAGCTTACCCAGAAGTATATCATGATTGATATTATCAAAGACTGAGAGACTGAGGACCAGGATGGATACATTACCTCCATCCTGAGTCTAGCAAAAGTTGATCAATATTGTCTGTATGCTATTACCAGGATTGAATCCTGATTGAAAGGCGTGCAGTTAATTTGCTTCCTCCAGGACCATGCGGAGTTACAAGACAACAAACTTCTCAACAACCTTTGAGAAAATGGACATCATACATATTTAATAAATAAAATAAAACTTGAAAAGGGAAAGTTGGAAACTGGATGAGAATTGCCTAGTTCTGTTGGTGTCCAACAATGGCTTCTTTAAGAAAATGTGAATGATTGCCTCTTCTAAAGCACACCTTCCACAAAAAGACATTCACTACCACATGAATACAACCAATGTCACTTCCTGGGATGCCTTGACTAGACAAGATGAGAGTGCATCAGATTATTTAAACAAATGTTGTAAGCAATATTGGACATTGACATGAGATGGAAAAATATACCTGATAATATTTATTTATTATTTATTTAATCAGTTAACAGAATAACAGAGTTGGAAGGGACTTTGGAGGTCTTCTAGACCAACTACCTGCTTGAGCAGAAATCCCTATATCATTTCAGACAAATGGTTGGCCAGTCTCTTCTTAAAAACCTCCAGTGTTGGGGCACCCATAACTTCTGGAGGTATTCCACTGATCAGTTATTCTAGCTGTCAGGAGATTTCTCCTTAGGTCTAGGTTGGTTCTTTCCTTGATTAGTTTCCGTGCATTGTTTCTTGTCATGCCTTCTGGTGCTTCTTATCTGTCTTTTCCTTAATACTGAATTCCTGCAACAGTTCTTCATATGTTTTAGCCTTCACTACCCTAATCATCTTTGTTTCTGTTCTCCACACTCTTCCTAGATTTTTTTTAATATTGTGGCAACCAAAATTGGATGCCATAGTCCAAGAGTGGCCTTTCCAAGGCATTATAAATTGATATTAACACTTGTGATCATGATTGTATCTCTCTGTTAATGCAGCCTAGGACTGTGTTGGCATTTTTGGTAACTTCAGGACATTGCTGGGTCATTTTTAAATAATTGTCCACTAGGACTCCAAGTTACCTCTCATAATTACTACTATTGAGCCAGGTGCCACCTATTCTTTACCTCTGCATTGGTTTTTTTTGCCTAAATGTAGAAACTTACTTTTTTCATCATTGAATTTTGTTTTGTTATATAAGGCCAGGTGTTCAAGTCGGGCAAGATCCTTCTCTATCTTGAGCTTATCTTTTGGAGTGTTGGCTATTCCTGCCAGCTTGACGTCATCTGCAAATTTGATGTGTTCCCCTTCTATCTGCTCATCTAAATCATTGATGAGGACATTGAAGAGTACTGGACCTAAGATAGAGCCTTGGGTTACTCCACTGCACATTTCCTCCGTGTAGATGCTGTTATATTAAATACTAAACATTGGTTCCATTAAGGTCTACACATTGGCCTGTGGTCTCTTGGTCAGCCAGTTATGAATCCCATTTATTGGTGATGCTGTTTTAGACACATTTTCTATCTTATCAAGTAGTAGGTTGTGATTTACTTTATCAAATGCCTTATTAAAGTCCAAGTAAATTACAACATTTCTCTGGTTTATTTATTTTGTCACATCATCAAAGAATGCAATAAGATTTATCTGGTATCATCTGTTTTTACCAAACCCACTTTGGCTTCTGGTTATGACTTTGTTTGCCTCTAGGTGTTCACAGATTCATTGCTTATCTTTTCCAGACTCTTCCTAAGTATTGATGTCAGGCTGACAGGTCTCCTTGATCCATTTCCCCCCCTTTTTTGAAGATGGGAAATACATCAGTCCTTTTCCAGTCATCTGGTAGTTTCCTGGTGCTACAGGATCTTTGTAATATATGGTTCAATGCAGGGGTGGGTTTCTGCTGGCGTTACTGCCAGTTTAGTGCACATGTGATTTGTGCATGTATGTGCAGTTGCCTGTAAATAGGTCTGCGAGTGCGCAGAACATTGAAAATGTCAAAAAACATGCCACAGCGACCGGGGAACTGGTTCAGGGTCATGTGAGCCTGCTGTTCCTACCGATTCAGCGACCCAGTCACAATATTCACTACCAGTTCACCTACCTATGGTGGTAGCAACCCACCTCTGGTTCAATGGTTCTGAGATCACATCAGCCAGTTCCTTTAGAACTCGGGGTATAATCCATCTGATTCCAGTGATTCAAATTAGTACAGAATGGATAGGTGTTCCCCAACCATTTTCTTACTTATTTTGACTTTCATTCCTAATCTGTATTTTAATGGGGTTTTTTATAGGTTGGACTACTTCTTTCCTTTTGTGTAAAGACAGATGCAAAAAACGAGTTAAGCAGGTCTGCTTCCTCCTTACTGCTCTTCACCTCCTTGCCATTTTCTTCCATTTATGGATCAATCATTTGCTTTGCTTTTTTTGGCGGGGGGAGGGGTGTTACATGATGAAAGAAGTATTTATTGTTATATTTGACTTTTGTCAGAAACCTTAGTTCCTTTTGAGCCTTAGCTTTCCTGACTTTATCTTTGCAGGTTCAGGCTATTTGCTGATATTCTGCCTTCGTAATGTGCCCCTTTCCACTTTTTATACTTGTCCTTTTTGTCTTTCAGTTTATCATAGAGTTCTTTGCGTAGCCATGCTGGTTTCTTTTGAGACCTGTTATTTTCCTTTTTCATTGGAATGCTAGACCGGGCTTTTATAATCTCACTTTTCAAAGTTTCCCAAGCTTCTTGGGTTGTTTTGCTCTTGAGGATTTTTGTCCATGAAATCTTTCCCAAGGTCTCTCAAATTTCTTAAAATCAGCTCTCTTAAAGTCTAAAAATCTAGTTTAACTTTCTTCTATTGCTTGTGCTTGCATAATGATTAAATCCAATATTGCATGGTCACCCCCCCACTCAAGGTTCCTTCAACAGCATCTATCTTTTCATCTCTGTTAGTGAGAATTAAGTTCAGTATGGCTGACCCCTTAATTCCCTAGTCTACCTTTTGGGAGACAAAGGCATCTGCTAGGTTTGTCAGGAATCTGTTTGATTTTCCACTAGGTGCAGAGTTTGTCTCCCAATTGATGTCAGGGTAGCAAAAATCTGTTTGGTTGGGTGGCCTGTAGTGTACACCTATGGTAATGTCATTTTTTCCTCTTTTATACTGATCCAAATGCATTCAAGTCAGTTTTATCATTGTTCTATTGTATTTTTGCAGAGATGTAGTTATGTCTTATATACAGCTAGTCCTCGACTTGCAACAGTACATTTAGTGACCATTTGAAATTACAACAGCATTAAAAATGACTTATGACCATTTTTCACACTTATGACCATTGCAGCATCCTTATGGTTGCGTGATCAAAATTCAGACACTTAGCAACCAACTCATATTTATGACAGTTGCAATTTCCTGGAGTCATGTGATCAGCTTTTGTGATCTTCTGACAAGGAAAGTCAACGGGGAAGGTGGATTCATTTAACAACCATGATGTTAACAACTTAACAACTGCAGTTGTTCACAAATTCACAAATGTGGCAAGAAAAGTTGTAAAATGGGGCAAAACTCACTTAACAAATGTCTCACTTAGCAACAGAAATTTTGGGCTCAACTGTGGTTGCAAGTCAAGGACTACATCTATAGTACAATTCCACTTCCCTGCAATAGTGCATTCTAATCACTACACCACCAGGGCTCCTTTTAATATCGTTTAATAGATTTATTATTTGTAATATTTGTAAATTGTTATCTTGGGATGCAAGGTTTTATTGCCTGTCCTACAACCGAATCAGTATGAAATGATGTAATGCAGTTTTTCACACACAAAAATAATTCTTTTTATAATGTAAATATGAATTCCAATTAATAGGAGGGTAGGGTAATTCTAATGGGAAGGTGTGTAATTTTAACAAACAATTGTGCTATGATATGATGTATTTCTTAAAAAATACTATATACCTGTAAAACATGAGTATTGCTTAACTAATTAAGAAATATTTGCATGAGATTATACATTGTGTTTTGGTTGTATGCAAATGTTTTCTTTGAAATAAAAATGAAAAACTGTTATACTTCTTTCTATATATTTTATAGTAATCTGTAGGAATGAGATATATGAGATATATGGACAGTTCACATGAATGCATTTTAGATATTCTGTAGATGGACTTGTCTGATATAATAGTTTGGTTTCACTTTAAATATCCTGTTGTGTAATAGAAAGCAATTGAATTTACAATTGTATCTCCAATCCTTATTATCACTCAAAAACTGGCATCTAAAGATTTGCAGTCTGTCCAGTGTGAGTTTTAATGTACTTACGGAGAAAATTAATGAATCTTTGTGTAAGCAAAGAGATTCTGTTCAAGCAATGTAATTTTAAGATCCAAGCAGTAGAAGACAATATTCAAAATTGTATAATTAAGCTTTCTGTCAGTCAATGGGTATTGAATTGGCAAAAAAATAGCTTTCAATCAATTATGTTTTACCATTTTTAATTTTACAGTTGTGACAGAATATATAAGGATAGTATTGGAAATAGTTAAGGGGAAATTACATTTCAGCAAAATATGCAGATACATTTTCAAATGAGACTTTATATACAATCAAGATTTGTGTTCCTCTTTCTAATGAACCGATTGCATCATTTAGAGAACAAGAGAAACTGAGGTAACAGAACTAACTCATCTAAAAGCTATTAATAAAACTAATTTTTGATTTGCTGCTAGATCTGCTCAATGCATTTAAACATGCCTCAGAAACAATTGTATTATATTATAGTGTTCTGGAGAAGGCATTGATTTTTTTTTCTCTTTTAACAGAACAATGAAAATGAAACAGCTCTGCACTGTGCTGCCCAGTATGGACACTCAGAAGTGGTTGCTCTTTTGCTTGAAGAACTTACAGATCCCACAATAAGAAACAACAAATTAGAAACTCCATTGGATTTGGCAGCTTTATATGGCCGACTGCGGGTGGTGAAGATGATAATCAATGCATATCCAAATCTGATGAGCTGTAACACAAGAAAGCATACTCCTTTACATCTTGCTGCTCGTAATGGTCATAAAGCTGTGGTACAAGAGCTGCTAGAAGCTGGAATGGATGTCAGCTGCCAAGTTAGTAATTTTTTTTAAAAAAATGTTGCACTATTTAAATAAAGCCAGGGAAATCATATGACCCTACAGTTTTACATTTAATACATTCATAATGGCAAATAATAAGGACAACTTATAACTTGTAGTTTAGGCATAACAACTGGTTTCTGCCCTCAACTAAATTATGTTTCCTAATATTTTTTTTAGTGGGGCAAGCTCAGTAATATTTTTACTCCTGTAAAAAGTAGATTTGTGACTCAAATCTGATTTAGGAATGCACTATCCATCACTCCCTTAAAAGGTCTACAACAGCCACCTGGTGCTAGATAATTAAAGTTTCACAACTGGTACTAAAACTTGCAATCCTGATTAATCATTTTCCCAGCCATTTAGGGAAAGCTTCTAAAATTAATCTTTATGGTGACTTATTTCTCCCACAACATTGATAGGCAGGCCAGAATTTTATTAACAATGAGAACCATTCTCTGTTGCAGTCATACCTAGCTCTACAGTGTAAGACATTATTAAGGGCTCAGCTCTAGATTTTTTATAGCCTTTTTCAAATTGTTCACAGCAAAGAAGAAGCAGTATATTAGATGTTCTCTGTGATTCTGGCTCAGTGATAGTCAGCTTCCTTGGAACAGGATTGGCTAGACTTGGCTACCAAGGATTTCCTGCCAGTTATGACTAAACATCTTAGCTCTCTAAACCTTGAATCCTATATTCAAAACCTAGCTTCACAACTAGGGGTAAAACAGGATGTGACTAGATAATAACTTATTTGCTTATGATATACAACAGAAAAACTGCCTATTATAGTTCACAATAAAAGCATGTGGGTGTCTGAGGCACTAAGTTCATGGGTGAAATTCACAAACCTGAATAACTTCCAGATCCCAGTAGAGCTATAAGTTCCATTATTGACTGATCCAAATATATACAAACATCTGTTCTAGGCAGTGGTGAAATTCATTTTTTTACTATCGGTTCTGTAGGCATGGCTTGGTGGGCGTGGCAGGGGAAGGATACTGCAAAATCCCCATTCCATCCCCACTCTGGGGCCAGCCAGAGGTGGTATTTGCTGGTTCTCTGAACTACTCAAAATTTCTGCTACCGGTTCTTCAGAACCTGTCAGAACCTGCTGAATTTCACCCCTGGTTCTAGGGTATTTTGCAGCTTCATTAACATTGCCTTTATGGACCAGAACAGAATCCCTGTATGCATAGTCCTGTAGTATCAGTCAAAACTATTGATGGATTCTCCTTGCAACAGTGATTTTGCATAGGTAGCAGCACCGTGAGCAGTTCCAGCTCTTGGTCACATCAACTGTTGACTTACAGCTTATCTTTAAGCTTCTATGGTTGACCCAATGATTTCCTTGTCTACAAGCACATTAGTGTTCTCTGTCAAATGATGCCAAAAACATATGGAATCGTTGGGCTACTAAAAAAAAAAAAAAAAAAACCAGAGCCCCTGTTGGCCAAATATGTGGAGTTTCATGATGCTTTTGCCAAGGCAGTCAAGTATCTTCACTTTCACTGAGTTATTTACAGGATTGTCTCTCCCCAATTGTCTTTACCTGTTTACCTGATGTAGCAAGAGGAGCATGCTCTGGGTACCATCAGCTAAGGAGAATCAGTTTGCACAATATTTTGGCTAATCCAATGTTTCTTCTGTGCTCAAACATTTAATTAGATATAACATAATGATATGAAAGTAATGGATCAATCTGATAACCTTCATGATTAATATAAACTCATTACAGTAATTCAAATGATGTTTTATTATGATAGTTTGTCATGTTCTTCTGTATGCATTTCATCTACCTTTCAAATTTATATTAACTGATATTTATAGGCTATGTCTTTGTTTAACACAAAGCAATGCTTTTTCATCAATTTATTCTGATTCATATTAGTAAGTTTACTGTATACAAATTTTTGGAATACTTTTTGTATCACATTGATATATTTTTAGATTAACTTAGTGGAACAAGGCAAGGTTAATTTCCAAAATGGTCCCTTCCATTTCTGTGATGTTTGTAAATCTTCCACTAAACATTGCAGAATCTGGACTTATTGTAATACTGTGTTTCCCCTGAAATTTGACCCCCTGAAATAAGAGCTTGGCCTTATTTTCAGGGAGGTCTTATTATTTTTGAAGTGCAGGAGGTGAGTTGGTCACCTCATGGTTGCTGCTGTGTTACGCTGCTGCGGCAGCGAGGCATGAGGTGCGTTGCTATGTCTACCGCTCTTTTTGTGGCAGCCATTAGTGTGACAAAAGGGGTGTTGTGGAAAGGGTTGTGGGAGCAGCTGTTAGGTAAGAGCGTGTGGGGTGTGTGGGGCATGTTCCCCCTTCTTTTCCCCCCCTCAGGCCTCGCCTCCTCACCTCGTGTTGTTTGCGCAACAAGCAATCAGAGGAAATAGCAGGGACCGGCTGCACATGTATTTAAATATTTTTGGGGAGGGCTTATTTTTTTGGGAAGACTTCTTATGTGGGGAGGTCTTATTTTCGGGGAAATAGGGTAGTCACTTGTTTGGACTGTCTTGTGGACTATGCCTTATAACTACTGTGTCACGCATACCTATTTTGGGGGAGAGGGAGGAGTAAACATATTTGGTCTGTATATTCTAATGAGATAATAGCATATTTATTCTGCTATAGTTAATAGACACCTAATTTTATTAATATTTGGGTGCCTAACTAAATGATTTTGTACATATGTTTGGAAAAATGCATAATGAACAACTATTACTTTTGTTGTTTTGTTTACATGTACAGGGACTAAAATATTTTTTTTAAACCCACACAATTATTTTTATTCAGGATGAGAATAGTACTTCAATTTTACCATGGAAACAATTCCAAATTCCAAAAACATTGTACACTAAAAGTCAGAAAATGTTCAAATCTTGACATGCACTCAATTCTTTTTGGCCCTGCTTTGATTGGGGTGTTTTACTACCTGCTGCCACTGTTAATTGTCTTCCTGATATCGTAAGCATCATAAGGTTAAGATAATTTATATTACAAATAATAAAAAAGAAAATGTCTACAGTAGTTTGAGCAAAGAAGTGAACTACTGCATTAAAAAAAAAAATCTACAATAGAGCTTGATTAGATTCTGCTGCATGACCAGTGAGGAGAGGGAGCCATAGAAGGAAAGTTGATGGTGTAGAATATTTATGTACAATTTCTGTTCCAAGTTCAATTACTTCTGTTCCATTTTACTCACTATGGCAGAAAGTCTGATTGTTACTACAATCATAAAATTGCTGGCATACTGCTTTTCATGTCTTCCTTTTATTCCGGCAATTCTTCTCATTCAAAAATAGGAACATTATATTATAAAACTTTATTAAAATCATCCAAAAGTACTGTCTATCTCCACATTTGTCCACTCATACCCTTTCTCTATCTCACAAAGCTCTCAAAGTAAGCTTAAACATAGTTTTTAAAAAAGAAAGAAAATAACCATCTTTTTAAGAACCTGCCATTTTAACTATTTCGCATTCTATCCTATTATTAAATGTGGTGGTGGACATCAAAAAGTTGTTTACCATTGTTCTAAGTAAGTAATATCAAAATCAGGTATCAGTGAAGCAGTTGATAATTCATGTTTTGAATGAGTATCATTCCATTATATTGATTCTCATGGGCCATATTCCAGAGTTTAATTATTATTTATTAAACTCCAGTCATTGATACCTCTGTAATTAATGTTGTCCATGACAGTTATTTCTGTTTAACATAATTAGATTATTTTTCATAATAATTTCTATTAACACTTTCTTTTTCTAGACAGAAAAGGGGAGTGCATTACATGAAGCAGCTTTATTTGGAAAAGTAGATGTTGTACGCCTTCTTTTAGAAACAGGTAAATAATGATTGCCCGACTGATTTTTAGTTATTTCTAAATGTTTAACAATGCTATTTAAACTTCTTTGAAACCAGTTTTCAGTTTGTATCCAGTTCCAAATGATCTCTGATACAATGACCTGACTCTCATACAGTTATACAGGTTTTTTCTTATTCTTAAATCAAATAGGTATTAGATATCAGGAATAATCAGTTTGTTTATTAAATTTATATACCAACCAATTTCGTTTTATTTAAGTACAATGACAATAAAGATTATACATTTTACTTGACTTTCAGTGGCACTGGATGGCTTGACATTATTAAATATTGTAACAAGAAAACAACACAAAACAAAAAAGAACAAAGATGGTAGAGATAACAAACCTGGATGGAAACAAAGAAAAAGAAGTAGAGAGCTTCAGTCACATTTGCCAGAGACTTGCATGAAGAGCTAGGTCTTCAGGCCCTTTGAAACTTTAGTAGGGTTGGTATCATTCAAATCTCCTGGGGAATCTCTTTCTATAAGGCAAGTGCTGCTATAGGGAAGCTGTGCTTTGGGTTTTGGTAGATGGTATTGTTTAAGCAAATGACACCTGTTCAATTGGATGAGGCAGGCAGATACTATGGGAGACTGATGAACCTTCATATAATCAGGCCCTATGCCGTGTAAGTCTTTATAAGTAGCGACCAGCACTTTCAGTTATATCCAGAAGCAAACTGGCAACCAGTGCAGCTCATGAAGCAAACATATTACATGGCCAGTTTGGCATAACAGTTAGCGTGCTAACCTAGACTCCCTTAGACAGGAAAGCCAGTTGGGTAAATAAGAGGCAGGAGTATTGGTATGTCTGCTGACTATGCATACTGACTAAACAACAACAACAACAAGGCAGGCCCATCACTGCCTGCACTGCCAGGGCAGCTCAAGTAAACCATGTTGCAGTCAAGTCTTGAGATGATCAGGACATGAATGATTATGAAGAGTTGCTGATCTTAGAAGAGGTATAACTGCATATACCAAGACGGGTGTTTAGTTACAATATGTTTTAGGTGACTTAAAATAATAAAATAATGAAGAGATTTGGAAAATATTTAAATAAATTAAATACATTAAAATATTATGGCTGGGGAATTCTGGGAGCTGAAGTCCTCAAGGCTTAAAGTTCCCAAGGTTTATTTCAGATTTATTTATTTCAGAATAATATGGCGCAAAGGGGAAGGGTATTTTATCTAATAATTCCAAAATCCTGCTAGTGTAGTTTGGGTAAAGCTGAGTGATATATGTTTTTATCTGTGTTTGTGTTTCTGTGAATGCATATTAATAGTTTATGTTTCTTAAATTACTGACAGTACTGCTTGAATACCCAACCAGTTAATTTTAATGCAAGGGAAAATACTAAGAACAGTTCCCACATGATAGGACTGAATATAGAAAGTGGCTTATATCCAGAAGAGTTAAGTCATCTTTGTTCCCCAGGATATGCAAGGCCTGTTGCTGGCAAAACCAGCAATGCCTGCCAACCACAGGTTTGGACTAACTGGAGAGATCTATCTGTCTGTTGGCTGAATTCCTCTCTGCTGATCTCATATTTTGTTCACCTTGACTTAATCCCCCCACTATCTAGGCAGAAAAAATGAGTTTTAGGATTGGAATCTTAAATGTTCCCTATTACATCCCTTTCCCCCTATTTTATATTCTGTGTTTCAGGAATTGATGCCAATATAAAGGACAATTTAGGCAGAACAGTTTTAGATATTCTGAAAGAACATCCATCGCAACAGTCACTCCAAATTGCTGCATTGCTTCAAGGTCAGTCAGTTAAATCATGTAAGTCATATAAAATGATTAAATTACAAAAATCTCAATTTTATTTGTATTATTTATATTTTCATATTGTATATTAAAATTACCACTTAAGCATATTCGGTACATGGTACTTTTAAACTCTTCGCTTTATATGGTTAACATTATAATAGAAATATGTTTGCTTGAGAGTCTATTTGGTTTCGTGGTTTTAAAGTTCCAGGCTAGAAACCAGGAGATCTTGAGTTCTAGTCCTGCGTAAGGCATGAAGCCAATTGGATGACTTTAGTCCAGTCCTTCTCTTTTGGCCCTAAGAAGAAGGCAATGGCAAATCCCAAAAATGTTTCCAAGAAAACATTATAGAATTGTCCAGAGATTTGCCAGGAGTCAAGATAAACCTAGAGGCACACATTCAAAATATTTTAGTATAATTATTAAAGATATGTATAATTTCCCCAATGTTATCACTATGGGGGTTAGGTGTTTTCTGTTGCTTTCTGAGGGTTAGATTTTGCAGGAGATGAAGATTTACTTTATGATTATTGTGGCTTCTGTGAGTATCTATTTATGCCTCTGCAAACTACTATTTCAATAGATTTCAAAGTCAGTTTTGGGGGCAGGACTACTTTATACTATCTACAGAATACTCTGAAATACTTCAGCTTCTCTTTTACTACCACAATATCATGAGAAACTCTCTAACTCTTCTTTCTTCAGGCACTATTGGATTCTGTAGTTTCTTCATTCTTTTTTTGTTTATTTTCCTCTATCTTTTTTAATTGTTTCCCATCTATGACCTCTAACAGGCATGATCTGTGTTGCCTTTCTTTGGATTGGGATCAGCAGATATTGTGATTATTCCTAGAATTTTATTCTATAATTATATTGTCATTGTTCAACCAGGTCTTAAACCTTGCTTTGGGAGCACTATTGGTTGTAGATTGCTTTTCGTTTTTGAAACTGTGATATAAACACCATCACTTGGCTCCAATTCTGAATGTTTCCTATTGAAATAGTGCTGGTTCATGCTGACATACCAATAAGGATATGTTTTCTTATTTCAACCAAATAACTACAACTCCCTTTCATTCTAGGCTCCGCATTCTCACATTTCCAGTGAGTGTTAATCCTCAGCTGCCCTTAACTGTGGTCTAAAAATTCAACTGTTTACGATAATATCCTAAGAAGTTTCATGCTAAGTTTGATTTGCGATTACCATGGGCTTCCTCTTCTATAATCTGCTAATCCCATTTGGGATAATCTCCCTTGGATTTGATCATTATCTCTGTCTGGTGGACAGGCATTTGTTTCCAGGATTATGAAATAAAATTTGAATTACCTGATATCTTGTACTCTCAAATCTTCTGAAAAGGACTTCAATATCTAATTGATTAGAATTATGGTTGAAGGATTACCTGTGGGAGAACAAAGAACTGGTCCATGGCCCACAACTCTGTCAATTCTAGTCATGAGACTCATAGAAACTTGGACCAGTAGACATAGTAGGAAAAGAGAAAGGAGTAGTGTGCAAATCATGCAAATAGAAGCTTTTTTATGAGGCTGGAGAATCTCTGGCTGCTTCCGAATTATGAATAGCTGTGTCAGCATGTTGGCCTCAGTATATAAACATTTCCTTTCCAATTCCTTAATGCCACAAACAATTAAGGATTTCTGCTCTTTTATCTACTCTGTTGTGACTACAAATATGTAGAGTCCTAGGTACTTTCTGGCCTTAGTTGTTTGCTTGCAGATGTTTCATTACCTGCCTAGCTAACATCATGAGTACATGATGTTGAATTGATGATGCTATCTAATTGTATTGTAATGAAACATCTGCAAGCAAACAACCAAGCTAGAGAGCACTACTCACTCCACAATTCAATCCTGAACTATGTCTATTGGATCTAGAATGTATAATCTGGGATCTTTTTGCCTTTTTGACATTTTGTATTATTTCTTTGATATCTCTGTACATCAGCCCTTTTCGATTTAGTGAATTGATCTGTATTGCTTTCTCTGCTTTTGTGAACTCTACACTACATAGTTAACTTGTCTTTGCTTGTTTTATCCATTAAAATAACAATAATTTCCATAGCTTTTAGAGCTGTCAAGTAATATTGCATTTAGCCTGGCATCTGCCTTACTCTCTTCTCCAAGAAAACTGTACCAAAGGGTTCTAATCTAATTCCTAGTTATTTCATATTTAAAAATTAAGTAGTTCTAGCAGGTTCTGAAAATTACTCAGTTTTTAGATCTAACACTCTATTTCTTTCACTGCTTGGTTATCATGGAACTGCAGATTGCCCATTACTGGATGACTTAATATGTGTTCTCCATTTAATTTTACTTTAAGAAAAAGGTTTCTATATGTGCATTCCAACATACAAATACAGAGATAGTGGGAAGAGACTGTGGACATTTAAATAAACCTACCTCCCTATATTTACATGTCTTGCTGCCTTTAGTCCTAATTTGATCCCCAGTAAGCATGGACAGACTTATAGAATCCTATCTTTACAACTCTGTGGGTTTGCAGAAAATAACCCAATAATCCTTCTTGCACCTTCCCCAATCTTCTCTCACATCCTTGTATAACCTTCATGACCCTTCCTGAGCCACAAGTGCCTCTCATGAACTCCCTCATGCTCCCACACACCCTCTTTTACCCAGGTGACACCATTCACACATACCTTTGAATATACACACCCCTCATGAACCCTCTGTTCAGGGGTGGGTTCCAGCAGGCACTAGTGCCAGTTTGCTTGTGAAAAACAAGATGGTGGTGCCTATAACACTGCCCGGAGAACCAGTTTCGGGGCGTGGCAGGCCTAGGTCGCTGCCGGTTCCAGTGACCCAGGCCACCAAACCACTGTCGGTTTGGCCGAAACAGTCCGAACCCGTAGGAACCCACTGCTGCCTCTGTTGCACCCTTGCACAACTTCCCCAACTCCCGCATGCCTCTTTTGCACTTTCCTGCATCCTCCCTTGCTGTACCTGACCAATGTAGCACCTCACATGCACTTCTTCACATCCTCTTCATACCCTCTTGCTCCTTCCTCCACCCAGGAGCAGTCACTTACCTGCCTGTTGGCCTGTGACTTGCATTATCCACTGGCTTTCCCACTGATTTTTATTGTTGCAAGCTAACAGGAAGTTCCTCATTTAATGACAGAGGAAGTCAGTTAATGATGGCAGGTAGGACTGCTGGAATTGCCACTGCTGGGTGACATTGTCACACTTCACGTCCATATCTCTTAGTGACAGAAATTCCAATCTCAATTATTGTTGTACGTTAAGGATTAACCATAACATTTGTTTATAGAGACATAATACTATGATAGAACTTTGAAAATGTAACTATACTACTGAATGAAATTTTCTAAAATGAAGTTTTAGCGCAGTAAGAATTTTAGTTGTAGATACATTTAATTGTAACTTATTACCATTAAAATCAGGAAATATCACAGAATTGGCTGTATGAGTTATGATTGCCCAATAGAATTTAAGTTACATAACTTAAATACAACATAAGAAGAATTCAAAAAATATTGTCAGATGAATTTTCAAATTTTATTTATGGGATGTATTTTTACCATAGATTACATAGAAAAAGGAAATTCAGAAGTTCCAGAGGAATCCATAGAGGAATATTTAGTATCAGATCACCATTCCAGTGTTTTATCCCCAGAAGATTCTCCTATACAAACAAGTAAAAGTAAATATTCTATTCTTTGTAGTTTGTTGTGTGTTAAATGTGTTAATTATTAAAGGTTAATAATTAAAAACATAATCAGTATGATATTGTACCTATTTTGCAAACTACTAGAGATTTAATAATAAAAAATTAAATATATCCGTCTTTGCTTATAAAATGTTAATTTTTGTAAAAATATTATATAATTGGGTTTTAAATATTCTAAGGTATATTTTAAGCTTTTAAATAATCACTACTAATTGCCAAGTACCATATTTTGTTAAGTTGTAGACCTAATTTATCATACACTTCTACTAAAAACCTTTCTATATAGTCATTAAATGATGTTTCTACCACTACTGACTTTGCTTATGAGCTGTATCATTTTAACAATGGGTATGCTATGGCAACACACTTAGTGCACACTGCACATGTGCCAACCATCTTCTCAAAATCAGGTTCTAAGGAATGTGTTATAGTTTCTAAAGCTTGATTTAAAGTATTTCTCCCACTTCTTAGTGTTCTTATGGCTATGCCAATATCAATATAGCCTGTTTAAAAAATTAAAATATTGTAAATAGCAATGTCACTTATATACTGCTTCACAATGCTTTACAGCCCTCTCTAAGCAGTTTACAAAGTCAGCATATTGCCCCCAACAATCTGGATCCTCATTTTATTGACTTCAGAAGGATTGAAGGCCGAGTCAACCTTGAGCCTGGTGAGATTTGAACTGCCAAATTTCAGTCAGCCGTCAGTCAGTAGCCTGTAGTAATGCATTCTAAACACTGTGCCACCATGGCTAAATTATGTTTTTTTTTAAAATAGTAGAAAGCACCAAACCTCAGCAAGCACCATTAATATCAACATTAAAGATATCTTAGAAAATATTCCCAACTTATATAAATATTTAGTACTAGAAAATAAACTTAGAATAGTACTTTGATAATTACCCAGTTGGAATGCTACAGGAATTGATGGAATACCCACAGAAATATAGTAAGCACAGAAGAAAAATCAGTAAATGTTCAAATCAATCTATGCCAATAAATCTGGAGAAGAATACAATGGCCAATTGATTGGAAGAGATCAATGTACATTTCAAAACCAAAAAAGGAAACTTAGCAGAGTATGTAAACTATAGTATAATATCCTTAATTTCACAGTAAAATAATGCTTAAGATAATCAAATATAGATTAGAGCCCTGGAGATGCCAAATATTCAAGATGGCTTTAGAAAAAGCTGAGGACATTAATGCGGATATATGCTGGATAATTGTGGAAGCCAAATAGCACAAAGGAGAAATCAGTATGTCTTTATTATAGAAAGGGCTTCAACTGATCATGTCAAGCTGGAGAATATGCTTAGATAAAATGGAAATCCTGGAACATTTTATTGTTTGGACAAGAAAGTTATATACAGGTCACATGGACAGAACATGGTAAAAAGACTGACTCCAGGTTGGCAAAAGAGCACAATGACGGTGTATATTCTACTCTTTTTTATTCAGCCTAAATGCTGGATATACATTATGGGAAATTGAATTGAAAGAAGACAAGTGTGATTTTACCACTGGAAGAAGAAATATCAATAACTTTGGTTATGCTGAAGATACTGCTCTAATAGCAGAAAATGCAAAGGATCTGCAAGTGATAAAATATAGCAATGAAATGCAATGGACATAGTGAAAAATGGGACTAAAATTAAATATAAATGAGTTCAAACTAGTGACAATATGTACAAAAACCAGTCTTACAACTGACAAAGAAGATATTGAAGTGGTGAATAGCCTGCTCAACCATCATCAGTAAAGTAACACCCAGTTAAGATATACTCTACAGCCTAGTACTTGGTCAGGCAGCCAGGCATGCATTGGAAAAGATATGTATATGCTTTGATGTGCCTAAACTTACAAAGATCTGAATAATGCAAGCAGTGCTGTTCCTTGTGATAGTTGATAAAAGCAAAATTTGGAGTTTGAAGAAGCAAGATAGGAAGAGTACTGATGCCTTTGAACTTTGGTGTTTGAGAAAACTCTTGCGAATACCATGGAAAACCAAGAAAACAAATAAAAAGATCATATAACAAATATACTCAGAGTTCTCACTAGTGTTACTAGAGGAATAAATGACCAAGGTTAAATTATCTTACTTTGGATACATTATGAGAAGACCTAGCTTGGGGGAGAAGGGTCTAATGCTTGGAAAGGTGAAAGAAAGCCCTGCAGTAAGGTAAATGGACTCAGTTACAGTGGTGATGAATGCACCATTAAAGACCTCACAGAACAGGATAAGGAAAATCTGTCTATGTGGTTGCTAAGAGACATTGACTTGATAGCATCAATAATCAGTTTATACAAATCACACAAGATGTATTTTAAATCCTAAGATTGTAATTGACTAAAGGGTGAGGATGAGCAAAGGAACACCCAATAGCTCATATCTGCCCCTGTTTGAACTTATAGTTAAATATATTTCACTCATTTTTGAATTTTTGAATATAATTCACATAACAAAACAATTGGTTTTTAAGAAAATAATTGATAACGAAACAATAAAAATCTACAGTATTATGATAAATGCACTATATATATATTTGAAAAAAAGCAGGAAATAGGCATTTCTGCCTGAAAGCTGTCGTAGTTCAATAGCTTCATTTTGGATTCCCAATTTACTTATTGATCCATACACTAATGGATAGATGTGTATGAGAACTTTGCTTTTGTGATTATTTGCAAATGATTCCCAAAATGCCAAATCGGTATAGAAATACCAAATAATGATAATATAATAGTATGTTAATGATTTTTTTAAAAAATGGATTTCTGAAAATTTAATTACAGAAAAAGTGAACATTGATTTAAAATTTAGTATTTAGAATTAACAACTGAGCAGCATCCATATTACAATCAACCACCATAAACATGTATGATGGATTACCTGTATAACTCAAATGTATTCTACAGAATGACATTATTTAGTCATGTTAGTCTCCAAACTTTTGATGTGTGTAATATTACATCAAATGATAACATCCACATAAAAGAGAAAAAGGAACATGCTATTTATGAAATTAACTCTTCACCTGCTTCTGCTCTTTGATTACACCAAGAAGAACATACTTCGAATCTTAAATTGACTTATTTTCTTTTACTAGTGACTGATTATTATATTTTGGCTCTTGTAAAGGTGAAGCTGTGACTGGTGAATTATCAAAACTATTAGATGAAATCAAGCTGTGCCAAGAAAAAGATTATTTAGAAGATATGAGCCATACTATATCAGATGATTATCTGGATGATGCTAACAAAGTATCAGAAGAAGAAACAGTAGCAAATGGAAACCGAGACAAGTCTAATATAGTAAGTGAGAAAGGGTATAGTTTAAATTCTAGCGGATAACAATAAGATTTAATTGTGTTTGATATGTTGTATGTTAAAATGTTTATATGCTGCAACACTTATTTCTTGCATAAAATATAATTAAAATTATATAATAAACTGAAGTGGCAGCTGCATAACAAGATTCTTCAATATTTCCCTGAAATCATTATATTGGTTTAAGATTTTTTTTTTAGCTAATTACTGGGAATTTACTGCTCATTTGTTTTGTTCTTATAATTTTGTAAATTTTATCCATCTTTTTTAAAAAATTAAATTCCTATACTTACCATTTTCCTTCAACAAAGTTATTTCAAGCCATTCTCATAGGTCTAGAATTGACCCTATACACCTATTTTTCTCTGTTGAACAATTTATGGCATTCTAGTGAATTCTTCCTTGTCTAAATTTGACAACAAACCTGACTAAAACCTAATTCTTAATTAAAGTATTACAATAGTTAGATTTTGTTTTTAGGTATTCATCTTCCAGTAGATGGCAGTATGGTTCAGTAAAGAAGAGCATCGGCCATTTTATACAATAGAAGGAACTTCCAAATGCAGCATGTTTCTTGGTTAACTTAACTTAACTGGCAGGTTTTGGTGCAGTATGAATGCGAAAGGATCCCTGATGATTGAACTCCAAATACCATGCATTGACAGTCTCCTATGGGCTGTGTAATCTTTAGGATAGCCACTACCATAAATTATTAAATGCATTCCAAAAACCATAATCAATTTAGCTTTTAAAAAAATATGCTAATTATGTTTCAGATAATCAAAAAAGAATCAGTTAATGATTTAGGAAATTTTGGTACATTACAGTATTAAATTAAGTGGAAGAAATTCAAAGAGTTGAGAAAGTAGCATGTTAAATTCAATGATTAAAAATGAAGCAAGAATTCAAGAAGTGACAAGGAGAACATAGGAGTTTCAGAAATGGTTTATTTAATGCAATAGTAACTTATTTAAAGGCAGCAATTTCTAAGTTATTGCAAATGCATAATAGCAATAACAACAGCACTTAGACTTATATACCACTTCAAAGTGCTTTACAGCCCTCTCTAAGTTTACAGAGTCAGCATATTGCCCCCAACAATCTGGGTCCTCATTTTACTGACCTCGGAAGGATGGAAGGCTGAGTCAACCTTGAGCTTGGCGAGATTTGAACTGCCAAATTGTAGGCAGCGGCAGTGAGCAGAAGTAGCCTGAAGTACCTCTAACCACTGCGCCACCATGGCTCTAACCCATGGTTAACCACCATGTTAACATATAACATCATTGAGAATAATTTTAGGTAAAATTATTTTGAATTTTAATATAATATGACCTATTTTAATTGATATATTTCCTTTAGATGTTATCTATCTATTATCAGCGTTCCAAATATCATCCACAGATGTGCCAACATGTCTCTGCCTTGGACTCTGATTTAATTCTGCATGATATTTGGAATGCTGACTATCTATCTATCTATCTATCTATCTATCTATCTATCTATCTATCTATCTATCTATCTATCTATCTATCTATCTATCTATCTATCTATCNTCTATCTATCTATCTATCTATCTATCTATCTATCTATCTATCTATCTATCTATCTATCTATCTATCTATCTATCTATCTATCTATCTAAAATTCAGCTGTATTCATATTCACTTAAGCTTGGAAATACTGCTACTCTGTCCTCAGAGATCATCTTCCACAAATCTGGAACAAACAGAAGAGGAAGAAGAGGGTGGAACTGAAAATAGTTGTGGACCTACAGGTTTGTGGGAAGCACTGACACCTTGCAACGGATGTAGAAATCTTGGGTTCTCCAGTCTTACTCAGGTATTTATCACTTTAGATACAAATCATGCTTGAGTATTTTCCCGTTAATATGTTGGAAATTTTCACCATGAACCTTGTTCTCTAGAAAGTTAAGATAAGGACAATGGATACCATTGCTCCCAAGTGACCTCTGTCAGATTACAGATCCCAGTGGTGGGGTTCCATTTTGCACAAAAATACATCCATAAAAGAAATACACCCTCTTAATGCCCTTTTGAGATGTTAAACATGCCTTTGACTCAATTTCCAGAAATTAAAAAAATCAATGTCAAGGTCCTCAATCCTCACAGTTCTCTATGCAGATAATGCCATCACAATTTCCCAAACATATATGGCAGCAATATTTCGATACTGCAGCAAAATCACCTGGATTTAATTTTGAAAAATCTAAAATTGTAGTCTTTGCTAAGAGAGCAACACCATAATCCTGGACAATAGGAGGGAAAAAAATGGAGCAGATTGCTAACCAGAGATGGTTACCCACTCTAAAGCCACCTGGAATACACACCAGAATCACTAGTAGTGCAGATGCTGTTTAGATTTTCAAGTGTTGTTAAGTGTTTCTTCTATACAAGTGAAGAATCCCTGCAGCATTAAAACTTTGTGAGGTCAAGTCATTGGCCCAAACACTTTATGGTACACAAGTTGGAATTTATAGAAGAATATTGTAGAATGATGCACTGGAATCAGTGTAAACCAAAAATTGGAAATCAATCCTCACTGCACCCAATGGAACAGCAAATGCTCAGTTAAAGTTTGAGATAGGCATGCTTGCAATCCTGGCAAAGGCCTGGATGATGATGATAAACTATTGGCTGAAAATCTAACTCTTCCCTTTGGACTGACCCCTGTAGTTTTAACAGACAATTTTCCTTCTCCCTGGAAATAAGCTGTAAAGCAAAAGTTGACATATGAGTTTTCCTTACTACTCATTATTTCTTTAGAGAATGACTAAGCCAAACAACTGCTGACCAAAAAGATGTGGAGTTTCAGGCTACAGTTAAAAGGTTGGCCCAACATGGCAAAAAATGTATAAATAAAGACACTTGGGAATCAGAAAAATATCTTTAAAAAATCTAACTTTCCCCAAGTTCAAAGCCAGGGATAACATCTTACCCTCTGCATTGTTGCAAGTTAATTAATGGTACCTGCCCATGGGAGATTGAAAGCATTCTGTATGTATTATTACAAGCTATATCGGGATATCAAGCGTGTTTATAGTCTTCCTTAATATGTACATTTCAAGGATGGCCAGACAATTTCTACATGAAACAGGAAAAAAACCACTTATGCATAGCTAAATTTTGTGTTGCTCCGATGAAGCCATAACTGGTCACAGAAATAACCACTTCTGTTTTATTCATCACTTCAGGTTTAATATGATAACCATCTTGTTTTAGGTGATATGTACAGTATTTTTCCTTTGTTGACAGTAATAATTCAGATTTATACTTGCACATGTAGTAGCTATATTGCATTTTATCATTTTATGGTAGTATTTTATTTTGGCTAGGTATTTAATTTTACGTTTGTGTTATATTTTTAGATGTTGCTGATCATTGATCCAATAAAGTACAGTAGTTCTCACCTTAAAACCATAACTGAACCTGACAAGGATACTATCAGACCTGTTTTTTATTATCTTTTCTTCAGCAGTTGTTAAGCAAATGCTGTGACTGTTAAGTGAATGCTGCATAGCAAACACTCATTGTTTGCTATTGGGCAGTTTTTGCCAGAAATCAGAAGTAAATTGCTGTATTTTACAGTGGTAGGGTTTCCGGAGCCTTTTTATTGATATAACATAGTCATGTTACTGTGATTCAAAAGCCATTTGGGCTACTAACAAAAGAAGACTGCTATGAGATTTTAATCACATTGCAACTCCCATCTGCCCACTTCTTTTATCACTGTATTTGTTTATAACATAGGTTCTAACTTGACTAACAAAACAAAACTGTCTGGTATAGGCTGTTGACAAAAATATTGAAATCATTTTCCAGATAAGTACCTCTCTAAAAGAAATTTCTCGCCTCCGATAACAAAGTCTTGTCCATCTCTTTTGTATCTACTTAAATTGTATGGAAAATAAATTGTAGAATATATAACAAAAAATCTGCAGGATAGAAAACAAATTACAGATTAAAAACAAACAACAGATTAAAAACAAACAAACAAATGAGAACAAAAAAGAATAATGACATATGTCCATTGTATCTCTTATGACAATAGAGAGCCAGTTCAAAGGCTGAGAAAAAACATGTTTCTTCAGTTCAGGTTTTAATTCTGCTGTTGTAACTTCTTCCCACACTGAAAATTTATCTTTTCAGCACTTATCCCAACTCAATAAATTGATATATGGTAAGCAAGAAGCAATCTTGATGAATAAAAGAGAGAACTAGGAGATGTAGGCATAGTATAATAGACTTTGATTAAGTGCAGCATGCAAAAATAAGTGGAAAAACTTAAATGCCTTTATGTAGGAACAAGTGATATTGTCAAATTCATTCAGCTCTGCATTTAGACTTGTTCCCAAGCGATAAGTGCTCTTCTGGGAAAGAATAGAAAAACAGCATTGTACCTGGTGTTAGTGAGTGGGGCTTCTGAAAATAAGAAAAGGTAACTGCATGTCATTGTACACATCAGGCATGTGACAAAGCTAAGTATGTCAGCATTTTCCTGATAAGGTGAATATAAATCATACCATTTTCTCTTTGTAAACCATATTATTGCTGTATGCTAAAATAATAAATGCCCATTTTACCTCTAAACCTTCCTCCTACTAAATGTAGAGACTTGTCAGGTACAAACAACCAGATCCACCTATGTAGAGTCCAAACTAATTACTTTATTGTATTTTGCCTATAATACAGGAATCCTCCCAATCTGCTTGCCTTTACTTGGAAACAGATAACTATGGTTCCATGGGGCTTAGGGGGGAATTAGTAGTAGATCTCTTGCAGCTGTGCAACAACTAATTCCTGACTTGATTCCTCCTCAATCTTGTCTGGTTGGCTGTTTCCCATCAAAACCCTAGGATTGGAAAAGCTGCCAGAACAATTAGATCCTGGTCATACTGCAGGGCAGGATGATCTTTTTCTCTGGCCAACTATCAGCTGATTTTGTTGCCTAAGCTGGCTTTTTGGTGGCTCTGCTCCCTGGATCCAAACAGGAGCACCTAGGAATGACCCAAGATGACTTTCAGATGATCGTGGGCACACTTGAGAAGAGGAATCTTGAAGATTGAAGTTCCTAATAGGAGTGGCCAGAAAGTTGGGTCTTCATTTTTTCCTGTTAGCTTATTGCTTTTTTAAAGTATGCCTTGGTTTTAACTGCATTTTCTTTTGTATTTTAAAAGTTATTCTTAAAGGTTAATGGTTAATACTGATGGGGCTCAAGGTTGACTATCAGCCTTCCCTCCTTCTGAAGTTGGTAAAATGAGGACTCAGTTTGTTGGGGTCAGTGACATGCAGTGAGGTTTATAGCTGGTGAGGCAAAAAGAAAGAAAGCAGCTTTTGCCTGCCTTGCCGCTTCTGTTGAACATAGCGGCGGGGCGGGCAAAAGCCGCTTTTTTTCTTTTAAGAAAGAAAGCGGCTTTTGCTCGCCCTACCGCTTCTGTCTGACATAGAGGCGTCCCGCCACTATGTCGGAGTCGGACATAGTGGCAGGGCGGGCAAAAGTTGCTTGCTTTCTTTTGCGGCAAAAGAAAGCAAGCTCCAGCCTGCCAGCAGAGGTGGGTAAAAGACCCACCTCTGCTGCCGGACTGCCCCGACACAGAGAAAGAAGCTGGCAGGCTGCCCTCCCTGCCTCTCCTACCCCCTTCCCTCTGAGTGAAGAAACAAACACACACACAAACACACACACACACACACACACACACACATTACTTACAATTACTTACAAATTAAATTAATTTTGAATTCCTCCCCCTCCCTCCGACCCACATACCTTTTCCAGCTGTTTCACAATCACAGAGGATTTCAATTCTGCTCTTGCCTGCCATCATGAAAATGTAAAAATATAAAAGGAAAAAGGCAAGAGTTGCTGAGATCAGGCTGGGTTAGCTGTTGCCAGAGTCCCCAATGTATGACTCTGCTTAACTGTTTAAAAAAGCCTCTTTAAAAAATGCCCTCTACAGGAGGAGGCAAGAGAACCATGTGCCTCATCTACATAAGGAATTTTTCAGCTTTTAATCCTTGCTTAACTCTGCTCAAGTGATCATAAAGTCAGACTAAATGAGGCACATGGTTCTCCCGCCTCTTCCTGTAGAGGGCACTTTTTTAGAGCCTTTTTTAAACAGTTAAGCACTAAGCAGAGTCATCCACTGTGACTCTGGCAGCAACTACCTCAGCCTTTTTCCTTTTACTTTTTTTTTCTTTTCATGATGACAGTGGTGAGGCTCTGCCTCCCCTGACTCCACGTCACTGGTTGGGATTATGCAAATAATGTTTCTGCATTGTAAACTGTCCAGAGAATCCTGTAAAGCTCTATGGGATGGTATATACGCCCAAAATGTTATTGCTATTGCCACTTAAGTGTATTCCTTATTTTTGAAATTATCTGTTTTTCTTTCACTTAAACAGTATATTGTTTTGTAGATTTATAATCTAGAATATTTTACAGAACTCTATTAAAAATATACATAGAATATTGAAGTTTGCAAATTAACGACAACAAGCACAATAACCAGACTTAGAATTGACAGTACAGATATTGAAGTGCTTGACAACTTCCGATTTTGGTATTCTTCGTGACACCCTGTACAAGCCAAAGGTGGACTTGAAGAAGCAAAACAGGAATAGTACTGATGCTTTTAAACTGAAGTTGGAGAAGACTCTTGAGAATACTGTTGACAACCAAGAAAATGAACAAATCATCCCCATTTGTACTTAAGGAACAAATGACCAGGGTCAAATTATTCTACTTTAAACATGTGAACTCTTACCTTTCCATAAAGAGTCTAATTTTGGGAAAGGCGAAAGAAAAGAGAAAAGAGAGAGGATCAGCAGCAGGATGGATGGGGTCAGGTATAGTGACAGTGACTACACAACTAGAAGACCTCTAAGACCATCAGAGGGACAGATTATCATGGAAAAATATGTTGTTTCCCAGAGTTGACATCAATTTGATGGCTCATAATCAATCAGTTAATGTATTTCAGACTGATATGGGAACATCTTAGTGGCGAAAGTGGCATAATCTCTTTAATGAGATATTTGGACTCCTGGAGAAGGGACAGAAGTATCAGTAGCAGAAGCTGGTTAGCAATCCTGTGAAAGAACTGGCCTGCTTCCTGCAGTTGCCATATGGCTAGCCACATGTGGCTTTTCTTTTCTTTCTGTTATTTTTTTCTTGCCCTGCCCTATGAACTAGAAACTGTCCCTGGACAAGAACTAGCCATATCATGACTATAGTTTGTGGTAACTTTGTTGTCACAGCTGTTTTGTCTCTGAAACAGGAGAAAGATTTTGGACTGGCATTTTAGCAACAGCACTAGCGCTTAGACTTATATATCACTTCACAGTGCTTTATAGCACTCTCTAAGTGGTTTAAAGAGTCAGCATATCACCCCCTACAATCTGGATCCTCATTTTACTGACTTCGGAAGGATGAGTCAACCTTGAGCTGATCATAATTGAACTCCTGGCAATCAGCAGAATTAGCCCGCAATATTGCATTCTAACTACTGTGTCACCATTGGGGCCATGGGAAAGATTATGAAGGAATGTTGGGAGAGGTCTTGGCATTTTGCCCTTTTTTAGATGAGAGACAGTAGGGTGGGAGTTTTGATTGGCCTGTCAAACTGGCGGCCCACAGGCTGGATATTTCACATGCAGGCAATGCCCATCCCAGCTCCGCAAAGGGAAAAAATATTGCAATATATAACTATCCAGCCTGTGATCGAGTTTGACACCCATGGAATAAGGAGATGTAAGAATGCACTATTTTTTTCCTTCTTCCTTACATGCCAAGAGCAGGGTGCTAATGGGGAGCTAGGTTGAAGTGTCAGCTAGATAAGCTACGTGGTTGCTGAATGTTGAGTGTTAGAGCTGCCCTTCTTATTGGCTGGTAATGAGATGAGTATAGTGGGACCCCTGGCGAGGAGGGGCAAGGATTGAGGGTGATTGTTAGGGGGCAGGAGACAATAAGTGGCCTACTCCTGTCTCTTGCAATATTTCCCCATGCCTGTTATCACTGTGAGCTTACTATCAGGGAAAGCAGCCCTGTTGTTTGGTATCAATATCAGGTTCTAGCCCCCCCAAATTGATAATTTTATTATCAAACAGTCTACTACTGTTTTATTCATTATGTGCACTATTAATATGACACCTTTAATATTACCGTATTTTTTGGAGTATAAGACGCACTGGAGTATAAAACCCACCAGGTAGATAGAGGGATAGAGAGAGAGCGAAATACAGTAGGTAGGGAGAGAGAGAGTAGGTAGGTAGGTAGGTAGGTATGTAGAGGGCAGGAGAGAGAGAGAGAGAGAGAGAGAGAGAGAGAGAGAGAGAGAGAGAGAGGGAGAGGAGGGAGAGAGAGAGTGGGCGGGCAGGCGGGCGGGGAGGGAGG